CCGGCCGAACCGGGATCATATATAACGGCACGTGTTACTGGGAGCCACGTCGACATGATTGGCTAACGAAGGACCACTCGAATTTTTCACGCCAAGCACATGAAATTCCAATCGAACGACCCTGTCGTCACGTCTGAGCGTGACATCGCTGGAATATTCATAAGGGGATAGTTGGCGTGTGGTCCGGGCACTTCGCAGGGTGCTTGCCCGATTCGGCATCAGTTGGTGCCAGCTTTCAGAGTCTCAAGACAATCAAACAGCAGTGCTCATCAGCTTTAACGCGCTTCAATCTTCATGACAGGCTTTTCAAGACTTTCCTAGGGGCTTGATGCCAAGAGTCAGTGGGCACGTCCTCCAAGGCCTTCTGACATGAAGCATACACACTGGAGTCGAGGTTTCCACGCCCCAGAAACCTCCGCATACGTCCGCAGTAGGCTGGAAAACCAGGCGTGTAGCTCCTTTGGGAGCACAGTAAGAGCAAGCCCAGAATTTTCAACCGTGCAAAGTTTTCATAAAACCCCAAACCTGGTTCCAAAAGCTCAAAATCAGCTCCAAAAACTCGTATCTCATATCCTTGCCTATGCCCACAACCCCAACATTATTTCGAAAGCCTTCCAAAAGGCTTCTGAAACCCCAAAATGACTTCAAACTCAGCTCCAAAACCTACCAACACAGCTTCCACAGCCCAAACCCACGCGGCGCAGTGACACAAGATGAAAGTATGTGCTCTGAGGGCTATGAGCCCTTATGAGGACCCCAAAGCTAGCACGTGGGACCAGCATGAAATATTCAAACAGAGCAAAGCAAGTGGGGGACTGTTTCGGGGCCACTGACGGCATTCTGGTGTCAGTAGGGACTCCAAAACTAGCCCATCAGAACACAAATCCAGCTTTCCAGCATGTCAACGCCGAGTATGGAGTTCTGCCAAAATGAAATCTTGAGGCCAATTTGTCCAACATCGTGTGTTCTCATCTGGCATAGCTAGTTTTGTACCGCAGAGTATTGTATAGTATAAGGCATTTGGCTGTTGCACGGACACCAAAACAAGCACGTCGGCTTGAGTAGAAGATCGAATCACAATATGGGTAGTTCTCTAAATTAGGGTCCTTTTGGGGGTCCCTTTATAAGAGTGCCGTACTATTTTGGGGGGCCCAGAAAAGGACCCTAATTTAGAGAGCTACCCATATAAACTCTCAAAGTGATGTTTCGTCTCCAGGCTGCCAGACTGAGGCGGAAAAAAAATTAACAGCATTTGCACCGAACGACCCGATATGGTCACCTGGTCACCTTGCAGAAGACCAAGGAGCAGGGCTCCTCTACCACGACCAGTTTCAGTGCTCCAAAACCTACAATGCGAATCCGGCAACGGGCAACAGGCATGAAGTTTGCTGCTAGAGAGACCCTGTGAAAAGACGGCGTGTTAAGCGAATTGAATTTCGTTGACACGAGGCCACACATTAACACGGCAAATCTACCTAGACTGAAAACGAAACCGATACTTTTCTTCAACACAACAAATTCGGTATCCTCTTTTGCATGTATAGAAATCAAGGCAATCACAACAGTTTCGCAGAGTGAAAGTCTGATGTTTTGCATGAGCTGCAGAAACAAGGCATGTTCATAAGGCCGTTCCAGAACTCGAACAGAAATTGCATAAAGATCGAAAAGCGATGGAAATTCTGATGGCACCAAGCCATGAGACAAGACAAGGCCGTTGTCGAGACCTGCTGTCCACGCAACAGGGGCGTGTTGATCTGCTTTCGCAGTTCACAGCGAAGCGCATCTCGGCAAACCGTCACAAATTCGTCGGAATGCTCCCCAAACAAAGGCATCAATGACCAACAACAGCAATCGCGATGCTCTTCGAAATGCTGGTGAGGTAGAACTCCCTGCTGAAATTCAAAAGATGTCGCGAGCTTATTAACCAGGGTGACGGAAGTGCTGCCTGAAGTCCTGCGAATTGAGTCGAGGTTTGATGAGATGTGCCAGCTGGAAGGAGTGACCCAGGCACCTTGACAACCACAAGAGTTTGTGTAAAAAACCTTCAGTCTTGCAAAATGCTTTGCAGTCGGAAATGCTGACTCGCTGGATAGACGCACGATGGGAAGCCATGGGCTACCAGGCCAACCGGAGCAGACTTTAATTCTCCCCTTCCTGATGAGCTATTCAAAGTTCAATCTTCTGCGTCCCGCAGGATTCTGATCTTGCCGAGGACTCCTTGTGTTGGCAGATTGCCTCCGCAGCGATGATAGGATGCTTGCGTCCTCCAGGACGAACTGGGCAAGTGCAAGGCTTCGTGCGACATTTCATCACGTTTCAGGGAGAGTTTCCAGGAGGATTGAGCAGAAGCCCCGTGAGGATTCTGATTGCTCTTCTGGAGAGCCCAGGACCGAGCTGCGAACTTTTCTTTCTGGGGAAGTCCCTCCAGGGCCGGCCTGTTAATCCGACAAGAGATAGCGGCAGTCTACTACAAGAAGGTGTAGCAGGTAGAGCGCTGGACGATGGATCTTGTGCCCCGGATGATGCTCTTCCATAACAAGTAGCACGGTCGGCAGCCGTGGCAAACGCTGTCCTGCTGGCATCTTCATAGACACGGTAAATGTGCTCTGCGACGAAACCTGCTTTGGTGGGTCTAGGTTGATGTCGGTTCGTGATCTGGTCTTTACTCAAGGATGGCCCCGAAACACCGTGCTGACGCATGCACGACGTGAACAAAGCGCCTTCCATAGCGACCTCCAACTCTCCAACTGTTTAGACCGTCTCGAAGGGCGCACTGATATTTCGCAGGCTGCTCAAGCGATCTCAAGCGCGAGCGCAGCGGCATTGATTAAGCGGGTCTGTGACTCCTTTGGGGCGATACCTGCTTGGTCATACATCTACAAAGATGAGCTGTTCAAATGCATCGGATTTCGCTACATTCTGAAAGGGTTCCTGGACAACTCGAACAGTTTGGGCGCGCTAGGACTTTGGGGACTTCGAGCTCTTTGAAGGCCCAAATGAGCACGGGACTCGGCGGGGCTACGAATTCCAGCACAGAAAACCAAACTACCGCGATCAAGCGCCACAGCATTTGACGTTGCAAGTTGCAATGACTTGGCGAACCAAGCCTGAGCGGGTTTGCCAAGAGAAGACGGTTTTGGCCGAAAATACCCACCTGGCCACAGCAGGAGCCGCATGATCACTATCCAAATCACTTTCTCCATCTTTGTTCGGGGCGAAACTATGAAGCCTATAGTCGTGGAACTACGGTGGAACACTGTTTTGGGAGCTAACTTCGAAGGATAGAAAACAAATCAATTCCGCGTGCAAACTGTCGTGTTATGGGGGCGCGACCGCTGGATGTGAAGCGCTGCAAGCCCCACAGTGAGAATCTAAGCAGCGGTGCGCAAGCAGGAAGCAGTGAATTTGTGTGTTGCAGAGGCCACCTGGGATTGGCAACTTCGGAACTGTGGAATTTTTCCAGCGGCCAAGTCTAGCCGCTAGCCGGTGCAGCCTATGCAGTGAAAGCGACCGGCGCATTTTCAACACACCATTCTATGTTGACAAATTGCTGTTCAAAGTATTAGTTCACGACGGATGCACAAAAAACGACAACATTCGGCAGCAAGCAGCTCAAGAGCAAGCTGTACTAGATCATTTGGCCAGCGCGCGGCCACTCCTGGGTCTTCTACGGAAACCACATCATTGGTGATTCAGTTCCCGTTTCTCGAGGCAGGCAGTCAGTCAGATGTGTCGGTACACCCGTAGGTAGAGCGTAGGTAGATGGGTACGCAGGCGGCTCTTGGTTTCGGTTGTCTTGGGAGCTGCTAGTCAGCTAGGCGGATGAATAGGGGGAAAAAAGTCGAGTCGATCAGACCGCTATCTCATGCCAACAAAGGTGCAGAACAGATGAGAAAAACAGTTGCATTTCCAGCAGCGACTCAAGCAACTTCCGCGAACCTTCTCCACTTCATCTCACTTCGTTTCCGCGCTCTCGACCCGACAAGCCTGCAGCCGCTCTCTCTTTGTTTCGATCCAATGTGTTGTTGGTTAGTGTTGGCGAGGGCCGACGTTGCTAGTGAGAGTGCGATGGGAGACAGGAGCACGAAAGAGCCCGGCACCGACAGCATAGCTGAAAGTGGAGAAGGCAGGCAGCAGAATGATGGAGCGAATCACGGACTTATAGCTAGCAATTGCAGGTGTTTCCAGCCCAAGTGCCGGGAGGCTGCTCGCGGTATGTGCACGATTGAACTCGTGTTACATCACGTTCAGGTCCGCGTTCAGCAGAGATGAACCGCTTGAGCGCCAGTCACTACCCCCAAGTCCATCAGCTCCTGACACTTGGCTTTGACTGTCAGAAGAAGGAAGGGTAAACAGCCTCCAGCTGGGTCCTCGTCCATGTGGAAGTAGAAGTAGAGTTGCAAAGGGTCGTGTCAGAGATTTCGCGACGCGTTTGGACAAGCGGCGCTCACAGGAGGATCCTCCTTTTGGTCAGCTAGACAAGCTACTGTTTCTGCTTGGCTGCAGCTGCTTCAAGTGATATGGTTCCATGCAAGGCATCTGCCATGGATGATGACGAGGACGACGAGGCATAGAACTGTCTTGAAGTCTGGCAGCTTGAACGAGCGGCGAGCTGTACCAAGCCATGTTTCATCTACTGAGCTTTGAGGAGGACGGCGTGCCAGACATAGAGACCTGGATGCGTCGATATGCCTCGAGAGGGTCAGCGGAAGAAGACGAGTGATCCCGACGAGCACAAAACCAATCGGAACAGTTTGCAGTTTGTCAACTTCTTGTTGCAATCAAAGTTGCCGTGAGATGCATTGCAGCCACTGAGATTTTGAGTGATTTTGAGTCTGCACAGGCACTCGCATGCACTTGCATTTTGTCGCCCAGCTGATTGTCGGCGTTCTTTGTCGAGCGAAGGCTGTTTGCAGGAAAAACAGCATGTACCAGAGCCATTGGCTATTCGCAAAAGACCAGCTTATAGCCATGCAGCACCACCTAGCCTGGCCCTGGCATAGACAAAGTTTGGAGCCGTCAGCAAAATCCACGTCCCGGAAAGGTGTAAACAAAAACACTCCCTGTCGCGATGGAGTCCGCACTTGTGCCCAAGACCGAGGGCAGCTTGGCCGAAAATGCCGAGTCACATACGATAACCGATATGACCTGTCTGTGCACGCCATGGATGATGGCAGACACAAGAATGAAGCTGCGCGATACCTCGGCGAAAGGAAGCTTGCGGATGTCTTGAATGCCTGACGAGCATCGGCGTAGAGCAAGCGTACTAAGACTAGAGAGTGATGCAGTGATACTGCATGCCGTGCAATGCAATGCGGTAGAAGTACACGTTAGCACATGATTGCAAAGTGGAGAAACAGTCAGTCGCGCCCCTGGCGCTGCCTCATTTATTCTCAGCTGATTTGAAGTCTTGCTGTCATGCGTGCAGTCCTTTTGTGCGACCTTCCAAGCGGCTGCGACGGAAGGATGTCTCAGCGTCAACACAGGCAAGTCCAAAAATGGAAGCTAAGGTACTTATGATGCAGAGACAGGCCTTCTTGTTCCCCAAGCTGCCATATGGATGGTGTTTATCACAATATTCATGGACACTCTAGCTGCTACGATCTCAACACCGGCCTTGCCGTATTATGCCAGATCGTTTCACATAAGCAATGCAGCAATCGGGTACCTGTATGCCTCCTGGAGCTTCACCTCGGCTTTCTGCGCCCCCGTTCTGGGAAAGCTGTCAGATCAGGTTGGAAGGAGAAAAGTCCTCATTGCTTCCTTGGTGGGTGCTGGGATTGCAAATTTGGGACAAGCCTGTGCTGGAAACTACTACGAACTGCTCGCTTGGAGAGCTTTCTCTGGAGTCTGGGCAGCCGTTGGCAATTCGGCGCAGGTATATCTCAGTGATGTGTGTTCTCCGGCCGTGCTTCCCGACTACATGTCAAAACTATCAGCTGTCCCAAGCTTGGCCATGACTTTTGGTCCAGGCCTCGGCGGTGGGCTATCGAAATTTGGACTGAGCATCCCTGTTTTGGTGGATGGTTTGTTGTCCTTGGCAGCAGCCGGGCTGTGCTATATTTATCTGCCTGAGTCACCCAGCTGGGTTGCGGACAGGGAAAACCCTAAGACTGCCACTGTAGAGGCCTCATCCAGCAGCTCTGCCGATGTTCCTCCAAGTGTAAAGGTATTGGCCTTCTCTGCAGTATTTCAAGGCATCGCCTTCGGCACAGCAGTTTCCATGACTGCCATCACACTTGACGCAAAGCTTGGCTTCGACTCTCTCCATGTTGGATTTACGTTCGTCCTTGCCGCTCTTGCCACATTGGCTACGAGCATTTGGGGGACCAGCCGCGTTCAACAGCGAGCTGGCCTAAAGAACACTGCAGTGTTGGGATCTCTGTTCGGCGGTGCCTTCAGTCTGCTGATGGCGGTTGTCCCAGGTGTTTGGACTACCGTAACCTTCCTTTGCTTGTCACGCGTTGGTGTGTCCTTGCGTGGTGGCAGCTCGGGCACCATCTTGACGAAATTTACGAACCCGTCAAACCGTGGAAGTGTTTTTGCGATGCAGCAGTTTGCGCTCAATATTGGCCGTCTTCTCGGTCCTGTGATTGCGGGGCACCTGGCAGTGCAAGACCCCATTACGTTGCCCTGGCTGTTCAGTGCTGTTTGCTCGCTAATTTCAGCGCTCATCCTCCTGGCCGTCCAGATGCCCGACCTTCCAGAGCCACAGCAAAGTGTCTCAAAGATGGTTCGCGGCTTCACCGACCTGAAAGGCACCTTCTTGCAAGCACCAAGTGTTCTTGACTTCTGCCTAGTCATTGAGTGCATTAAAGATATCTGCGTATCTGCGAAGTGACTTGCAAAGTAAGTCTAGCAGGAGCCGCTGTGTATTGATCATCATCCTTGCATTTGACATACATGTAGACCCTGGAGCCTTCGTTTTGTCTCCACTGGGGCAACAAGTTGTGATCGTTCCGAGTGTGTCCATGAGGGTTGCTTTAAATCAGCAACGAGTATTCGTTCCGTGGCTTTCATGAGTTGAGGAGGAGGCACTTTGCCAAAGAAAACCGTGATCGGTAAGAAAATGTGAGAGCTTCTTGACAGCCTTCTCCTGATTCTCATGATATTCTAGCACTATCAACAATCCCTGGTTACACTTAACTGGCTAGGTGACTTTCTGATGGATCGATGGCCCCGCCTACTTGAGCAGTTGCTACACACTTTGACATAGATTAAAGAAGGTCTGCGGGTGCCTGTGTGCGGATGTGCACGGGCATTGTTTGTCTTTTTGCTCCCATGGTTCGTGTGTTTGCAAGATCAGTTGCAGGTGGCAGGGGTGCCTACATCTTGTTCTGCCAGCGAATCTGAGTGGTGGCCCACCCACAAAAATAGAGACGTTCGGTTCACACACCTACCAGTTGAAAACATTCCGACAGCGGATTGCAACCCAGTGAGCTCTAGTGAGTACGCAAGTAAGTATGTCTGTGTGTGTGTGTGCCTGCCTGCCTG